AAGTGCTGCAGCTCTTCCAGCGGTACCCAGAGCACAGCAGCTGAAAGCCTTGGGGCTGCAGGGTCTGGAGTCTGCAGTGACAAGTCTGAGGGCTCATCAGAAAGTGACACAGTCCTGCACAGAGCACAGGTGAAGGTCAGGACACCTGAGTGACAGTCCCATCACCAGGTGTGCCCCACACATCCTTGTCCCAAAAGGCAGCACCCAACTGCTGCACCTCAGCTGTGCCCCTTCTCCTGCTGCAGAGGACACCAGGCCTACCTTGCCAAACAAATGTCTCCACAGAGCCAAGCTCAGCAGTCATGGTGGGGGAGAAGCACTCGGAGCCTCGGTGGTGTGGGGAGGGAGCAGCATGAGTGTAAACGAGCCTGTAACGAGTTTGTAATATGCATGTGTGGCGCGGCCTGCGCAGCGTCATCACAATGGCACAGGCACTTTCCCGCCTCATTGCCTCCCAAATGGATTTTAAATATCATTCCGAGGACACAATTATTTAAAACGCTGAACTAAACACTCACTAATGGGAAAACGGCGTGTGGCCTGCACCAGCCATTCCTCACGGGGCCACTCTGCCCATGTCACCTTCTTCTCCAGCCCCACAGCCCACATGGGGTCCCAAAGGGAAGTATTCTCCTTGTTGGAGGCCAAACAGCACACCATTGGTACCAATCACGGGCCCAGCTCAACACACATCGCTTACGTGAGAACACACCCTTTGACCCCATCCCACTGTCTTTGACCCCAGAGGAGCACTCAGCCTGTCCCAAGGGGCACAGCAAGTCAGCCCCCGGGGCTCTCCTGGCTGCAGCTCCACATCAGGGAGCACCTCACCCCACTGCAGGTCTTTCAGCTTTCTCCCAGTTCAGCAGCAGGTAATACAGGGCTGCACAGAGTGACCATGAGAATAGGGATGCCTCTTGACCCAAGTTATATGGTCCTGGAAGCCACAGTTATAACATAAGATTTACTTTCTCAATTAACTTCGGAATACCTCCCTCATCCCCAGCACATTCCCAAGCAGGGGAGATGAAGGAAGCAGCATTATTGTTGGCTGCATCCTGGACTCCAGAGCAAACAGAGCACAAAGAGAGAAAAAACGAAGAAACGAACTATTTACAGCAATCCTTGCTGGGCAGAACATATATGGGCACACAACTCCAAGGATGCCATGGACCCTCAATCCCATTACAGCACAAGGCAGCATCAGGGATGGCAGGCTCAGGCAGCAGTGTGTGTACTCACAGGGGAGTGCCTGCCTGACCTTTGATCATCACTCATCTCCCTTCCTCCAGGCAGGGATCCCAGGCCACCACAAGCTACCATTAGTCAGGGACAACACCCTACCTCCGACCAAACAGAGAAGGGAAGGGCCACAAACCAACACTGTGCCCACACACCAGCAGCTGAGCACAGAGAGAATGAGAGTCCCTTGCTGGAACTGGATGGGGCTGTACATCAGAGGTTCATATTCTAACAGCTTTGGCATCACTAGAGCTATCCATCACCGGCTCATTTTCCACTCAGTGCTGAACCGTTCTGGCCTCTGCTATTTGGAACAGTGTCTAATGATGCACTGGAGCAGCCACCTGGCAGTATGGCTGCCAAGGGACACAACATGGGGAGAGGAATATACACAGGTCTGCACGCCGCTGCCATCCTCCACTGCCCAAGAACCTCCCTCCCCTCAAACCTGCTCCACTCATAACAGACCAGAGGGATGCTCTGCCTCATGGTCCTCCACCACGTGAGAGGAAGAGCCCATGCTCTTAAGACATTGCTCTCTTACAGAAAAGAAAACAGAACATAGGCACTGATGGTATTTTTATGAACAGTCATTCAGTTTGTCACACTCTAGTACTCTTTTTGAGAGGCTGAAGAGTGGACCAAGGAAAAAAAAAAAGGCTTTTTCTAACCCATAGACATGCATAGCTCATTAAAAACAGAGACGGGGCCAGGGACATGAAACATGACAGCACTGTAGTGTTACAGCACTAAAAAAGCCTCCCTGGGAGACTTGAGAAGACCCAGGCAGATCTGGACAGAGACTCACACAGAGTAAGGCAGCCACAGGATACTTTGGAAAAGAGCCTGCACAGGCTCCAAGTTAAGCTTTGCTTTTATTGCAACTTGAGTGCTTCTGGGTCATTCTCACAGCAAGAAGTGTCCTGCGGATCCCTGCTGGGTGGCAGAGTCTACCCCTTCCTCCCAAAACAACTTCATCCAGATCTCACTGGGTCCATTAGGACAAGGGCACAGAGCCACACCTCCAGTCTGGAAACAGCTGAGCTGAGGAGCAGTTCTCACCAAAGTTAATCTATGCCAGCACAGAGCGATCCCTCAGGAAGACCATGTATGACATCCTGTGCGGGCATCCCAGGGCAGCTCCGTGGGAATATACTGTGGGGAAACGAACAGCAGGATCCCTGCATACCTAGAGATGAACCCACCTCCATATGGAAAATGTGAAAGGGACAATCTAGGCAAGTTCAGTGCAGAACTCACCCATTCCAAGAGCAACTTCCTCCTTCTGCCTCTCAGTCTCAGTTCATCTCCACCACCTGCCCACATCTGCAAGGAAATGCAGGGATCTAGTAAGAGGAATGTGAGGCCGTTCACCAGCTCCATTCTTCAAGCCTTCAGTGAGGGCATAGGGGGCAGGTATGACATGAAGCCAGATGCACAAACTGGAGTGTTGGAGAATCAAGCACTTGCACCATTAGACCTTTACTCCTCTGGGTCTCACTCAGCGCTAATGCTCCACCAGACACCTCCAGGAAACAGCTGCTCATCTCTCTGTGAATTGGCACCTTACCTGGTTGGTTGTGGGGGTATCTGTCAAGAGAGCCAGGGTACCAGGGAGGGAAGTTGCACAGTCCACAGGCAGCCTGCTCCAAGCAGAGCAGCACGGGGATCCTTCCTATGCTGCAGGAATGGATATGAGATCAGGTAGTCAGACAGACCCATCTCCAGGTCAGGAGCAGAACTGCAGCTCAAGGCTGGTCCTCAGCATTCCTCATCCACAGTGAGCACAGCTGCACATCCCACTGCTGGGGAAATGGGAGAGCAGCTAGAAAGGGGAGCAAGCATAGATATATGGCCTAGGGAGCAATACAATAGACTAGGCAAGGAGATGGGCTGCTCACCTGTTCCATGCAAGTGGAGCTTGCTCAGCGTCCCACTCTCAGGCTGAGCTCTGCCAGACCTGTCTCCAATCCCTGCATCTGGCTGAGCAACCCCACAAACCCAGCCCAGGGGCAGCCCCAACACAGCAGCTCTGCCACCAGCGCAAGGGTCACAGGAAGGAAAAGAAGTGCAGCCTTGCTGAGCGAAGTGCTGCTCCACCGCTGTGCTCAAGTCCAGCTTACAGGCATGGCAGGGTGAAGCACTCTTCGATGCAGCCCCCTTCCCTCCCTCCCCTAGCCAGCCACACTCCACAGTAGCAGGGCTAGGTCTGACAGGGAGATGCTCAGCCCCAGCCCTGCTGCCTCCTGTACTCTCCTGAGGAACATCACAGACATCTTGTCTGGCCCACACTGCCAAGCCAGGCCAATCAGTACCTGTCACAGCTCCATAGCTCGTGAGACTCAGCATCATCTCACAAGCTTGTGAAATCCAGGATTGCCCCACATACTGTCACCTTGGACTAAACACAGCTCTGGTTCCTCCTACCCTGTTGTTGGCTGTGAATGGAAGACGTTAGAGCCAGGCATCCAGTCCCAATGTGAAACTGGGAAAAGGCACTGGAACAGGCTGCACAAAGAAGTTACAGATGCCCCAAGTGTTCAAGACCAGGTTGGACAGGCATAGTTGAAGGTGACCCTGCCTAAGGCATGGGGGAGGATGTGGAACCAGATGAACTTAAGGGTCTCTTCCAACCCAAACCACTCTATGATCTCCACCACAACTCCACCCAGAGTTTGCCCCACACCTTTCCTTTCCACTACAGACACTGAGGCAGCACCTCTGTGCAGGAATCCAGGACAGCCCTGCGCACCCCAAGAAGGTGCTGTGCTCATGGGGCAGCCAGGCTGCCCCACCACAGCTCTGGAGGTCATGGCCTGCACCATCACTCTGGACACAACACTTCACCCTGAGGGCTTCCTGAGCTCCACGTGGACAGAGAACCTGCTAGTGCTGCCTGCAAGACTCTGGATCCTTCCCATAAGAAGCACTTGGGAATACTAGAAAAGGCAGCCAGGGCCAGTCATTAATATGATGATCCAAGGCAGAACACAGGACATTCAGCCCTAGACTAGTTTAGAGCCCTGCAACTGGAGGCAATGGCCACAAGTCCTGGAAAGGAAATACTGTTTGTTTCTTCTGTCAGTCCAGCTCATTTGGCTTTGTTTGTCTCCCCTACCCAAAAGGGAGAAAGCCTTCACCAGGAGGAAAAAACTTAAACAATAGAAAATCAAACAACAACAAACAAAACCAAAACAAAAACCCAAGGAAAAACCCACCAGAAAAAAACCCAAAACATTACCTTTGAAAACAGTTTATAAACATGCTTACCCTTACCACTGCTGACGACACTCCACTTACCCAGAGGGATTCAGCCTCTGCTCTGACCAGTACAAACTGACAACCTGGGCAAAGAGACCCACCAAGTAAGGAAGCACTTGAAGAACCACAGGAAGGTCAAAGACAATAGAAGCTTTTAGCAGTCAGGAATCTGGAAACCAGGGTAAAGAGTTTGGAGTACTGTGGAGAGCTCACTCTGCTTCTCAGAACAACCCTAGCTCTCCTCTGGCATGCCCTGTGGTCCCTGCTCCTACTTGTGTGTGGTTGTTTTCAAACAGCAGCTGTTCTTCCAACCCTTTCAAACAACCCCCACCACCACAGTTCAAACTGCCTCACACTTTGCAACACCAAAATTAAAGACGCAAGGTGTTTCTATGCTTTTTTTATTTGCAGGCAGCCAACAGGAGGCTTTGCTTTCTCAGTTGAGTAAGACTGAATAGCAGCTCCTGCACGACTCCACAAGAAGTGGGGCCTGGCAGTCACTTGCTGCTGGTGTATTTGGTGACGGCCTTGGTGCCCTCGGAGACGGCATGCTTGGCCAGCTCGCCGGGCAGCAGGAGCCGGGCAGCTGTCTGCACCTCGCGGCTGGTGATGGTGGAGCGATGGCTGTACTGGGCCAGGCGCGAGGCCTCCGAGGCCAAGCGCTCGAACATGTCGTTGATAAAGGAGTTCATGATGCTCATAGCCTTGGAGGAGATGGTGAGGTCTGGGTGCACCTGCCAGGTGGTAACCGAACACTGTCTCACACATCCATCACCCTGGAGGGAGTAAGAACCCAGCCCCCCCCAGAAAAGCAGGGCCCCACTTCCCATCCCGGACAGGGCACTCTAACCCCAACAGGGACCCGCATTTGCCACCCTGAGGATTTCAAGTCATGGGCCACTTGCATTAGACTGAAGAGAGGCTCCCATAACGCCACAGCAGCTTTGGGATTGCACCGATGGGAGCCCCTACACACTGCCTGTGGAAAACAAGACTCTTGAGGGATGAAACTCAGTTTCCAGAACCTGCCTAGAGGCTCATGCTGATGACTGTGGCCTAGACAGTGCATGGCCACTTCCAAAAATTCTTTTTCTCATTTCATTAGAGATTTTAACACAAGCCCAGGAGGAGCTATTCCCGCCCTCTTTACTTCTATTCAACTGCTTCTTCAAGCAGAACCATACAGCAGAGCTTGCTCTCTCTAGGAAACCCTTTCTGCTCTAGATCCATTCCCAAGAATCTGTCCCCCCCACACTGCCCCCAGATTCTGAGCCTCAAGCGGGGCTCTTCTATACCCACCTTTGTTTTTTCTTTTTTTTTTCCATCTCACTAAACAGCAGATTTCTTTCCTTTCTTCCCCTTTATGGTGTTAACATGCAATGGGTAGAAGTAACTTTATGGATGAAGCAGTTTCTAGCAGAAAAGAAACATTTACTCACCTGCTTCAGTACTTTGTAAATATAGACTGAAAAGGTTTCCCTTCTCTTCGGTGTCCTCTTAGATATTCTGTCCCCAGAGGTGGAAACATGACCACGCTTCTTCCTAGGTTCTGAGTTCATCTCAGCCTCCAACAAAGCAGCCAGCAGGTGCCATGGGGCTGGCTATATAGCACAGGCTGCAAACCCTAACCTGCCTCAGGTGCAGCCCCCAAGGAGCAGGAGGAGTACACACCTGTGGTTTATGATTTCTCTTGGCACTAAATGAAGGGTAGCTGGCCTGAGAGGAGCTTGGAAGTGACACATTCAATTAAACTTTCAGACCTGAGAAAAAATCTGAGGGTAACCTGGGTGAAGAGCAGTAGCATCAGATTCACAGGGGAAAAATTCCGAGAAAAGAGACATTCCCAGATCCACCAGGAGTTTGATGAAAGAAGGGATCCTCCTTTGGTGCAAGGGTGTGAATTGGAGTACTCAGTGGCAGCTCTTTGTGAAGAAGAATGGGCTTGAAGATACGGGGTAGTAGAATACTCTGGGAGTGGGAGGGACTCCCATTGCAGAAGGACCTGGACAAACTGGAGAGTTGGGCTGATTCCAAGGGGATGAGGTTCAACCAGGCCAAGTGCAGGTCCTGCTTTGGCCACAGCAACCCTCGGCAGTGCTACAGGCTGGGCACAGAGTGGCTGGAGAGCAGCCAGGCAGGAAGGGAGCTGGGAGTGTGGAGTGACAGGAAGCTGGACATGAGCCCGAGTGTGCCCAGGGGGACAAGAGGGCCAAGGGCTCCTGGCCTGGCTCAGGAACGGTGTGGCAGCAGGAGCAGGGAAGGGATTCTTGCCCTGTACTCAGCGCTGGTGAGGCCACACCTGGAGTGCTGTGTCCAGCTCTGGGCCCCTCAGGTCAGGAAGGATATTGAGGTGCTGGAGCAGGTCCAGAGAAGAGCAACAAGGCTGGGGAAGGGACTCAAACACAAGTCCTGTGAGGAGGGAGATGAGGGAGCTGGGGTTGTTCAGCCTTGAGAAGGTTCAGGGGAGACCTCATCACTCCCAAAACTACCTGAAAGGAGGTTGTAGCCAGGTGGGGGTCGGTCTCTTCTCCCAGGCAACTACCAGTAAGACAAGAGGGCACGGTCTTAAGCTCTGCCAGGGGAGGTTTAGGTTGGATATTAGGAAGAAATTCTTTACAGAGAGCGTAATCAGGCATTGGAATGGGCTGCCCAGGGAAGTGGTGGATTCTCCATCCCTAGAGGTATATAAGAAGAGACTGGATGTGGCACTTAGTGCCATAGTATAGTAACTGTGATGGTAGTGGATCAAGGGTTGGACTTGATGATCTCAGAGGTCCTTTCCAACCCAGTAGATTTTATGATTCTATGAGTCATACTGAGACTAAGGAGCACGTGACATGACCACTTGTGCTTTGTAAGGGGCCATGTGTTGACAAGGAATTGACACAGGGTCCCCACTCTCAGGGAAGTTCCACTATCCCCCCATTCACAGAGCTGTGAACAGGTGAGACCTTTGTGTTGGGGGAGACTTGCCACTGCAAGGGGACTGTGTGACCTTGGTCTCAGGTCATAGTACAGAAGGGCTCTCTTGTAATAGAGGAGCTGGGGGCTGTTGTACCTTTCCCAGCTGCTGTCATGTCTGGCACTGGCAGTGATACACACACAGGTGTTTTTTCTGACAAAATGTTTAGTTGGATGGAAGCCCTTTGGTGGAGGAGCAGCAACTGGTCACTTGGCATTAGCCACAGGGAGACTTTACATAGCAAGGGTGGAGGCTCATCCACTGAACAATAGAGTCAGATCTGAACTCCCAGGTTTGGGGAATCACCATCTGCTTCCCTGGACTGCATGTGCTAGAGGCTGTCCATGCTTGCTGTGTGCTGGGCTTGACTCCTCCTGGTGCTGTTTTTAGGGGTGTATGGATCTACTTGCACACACAGACAAGGGAATCCCACAACCCTGCACATTGCCACTTCTGGCTGTGGCTGTGTTAGACCCAATCTCACTTTTAGATTACAGGCAAGAGTAAATGTGCAGGCTCTAGGCCACTTCTTTCAAAGACCATCCTAGCAACTAAGGAGCAATTCTTGTAATTTATCTATAATTTTGCTTTTGTGCAAGATCAGAAAAGTCCCAGTTGAAACAGCTCGAAGTGCCACTGTCCCAGCTCATGGCTGCCTCAGATCAATGCTCCATGACACCTGCTGGGAGTTGCTTCAGTGCAGTCCAACGATGTGTCACCATAGAACAAATGAAGGTTAAATCAAGGCTCATAAAGCATGTGTATAGATTCCATTTTACAAGTCTTGGCTTACTGAGACCTGTAGTGCACCTACAGCTGCTTTTGCTTTGAACATGTACCTGTGGCCCTTGTTTATAAATCAGAGACACCTCTGCACCAGAGAAGTTCCCCTCTCTTGGCAGGAGCAGACAGGTAACACAGCTCTCCTCTTGAATGCCCATCATGCCGGCTGTCATCCCACTGTCCCCAGGCCTTTCTCAGGATTAAACATTCCCAAAGAACTCAGTGTAAGATTGTATCCTGCGTTTATTATTGCCACTCAGATGTGAAATGGAGTGATTTGTTGCCAAGTGTTTGGTAAGAGTAAGGAAGAGCAGGATGAACAGCTGTAGCCTCAGGCAGAGGACTCCCTGACCTCACCATTCTCAGAGCTACTTTGCAATCCCTTCCAACTCACTAACACTTCCTACAACTCAGAGAGCAGAACAAACAGACAAGCATTAATCTATTCTGTTTAACTCTTGTGACCCATTAGCTTTTTGAGTAATTGCTTCCCTGTGGGTTGCTTTTACTCCCCCACTCCACCTCACAACTTTTGAGTACTCCACTGTGAGATATTCATCCAAGTGACTTTTCACTGCCATCTAGACTTTTCTGCAGAACTAAGTTGGAAGCATTTATACTATATAATATATACTATACAATAATTTATCTGCATTATTTCATCAGAAACTATATTTTTTTATTTTCCTCTCAGATCATTGCTAAAAACAGAGAAAAACCTGAAGATTCTGCTTTATCTACTGGAAGCAGCTCCTGTTGTGACATTTGTCCTATGACTGACACACAGTGCTTCCACAGCAGCAGTCACAACTTGGATAGGCCCTTTCAGAAAAAAAACCCAAGAAAATACCCTACCCAGAAAGTCAAAGCCAGTCAGCTGGCACTGGGGAAGCACTGCAAGGGAGCACAGCTCCTGCTCCTCCTGTCCTTCCTCTCCTCTGGCAGCATGTGGTCCTGGACAGGCTGCTGGGCTACATGAAGCCTTCACCAGTGCAGCCATTCTCATGTGTCAGTAGCAACTAAAATGATAACTCGGGATCAAAAGAACCTATTTGGTTTGATTTGCTACCTTTCCCTTTAGTACCTTTTAATTGCTCTAATAATAAATTGAAAATTTATTTTATTCAAGCTTCTGTGGCACGCAGTGAGGTTTAAACACCAACTTTTCCAAAAATCTGTTATTGAGAACAAAATAAGTTTAGTTGGCTAGTCTGCAAGGAACCTGCAAGGTCACAATAACTCGTATCCAGAAATCCTACATTATTGAGTTTCATTATTAGACAATTCAGGGAGAAGGAAAAAGCCACATCTGCACCATTGTGTTGCAGAGGACACACACTGGTGTTCCATAGATCTACATTGTGTTTCTGACTTTGATATTCACAACCCTTTCAAGTTGTGCCTGTCACCATCTACAACAGAAGCATCCATGCCTTGTTCCCCCTTCTGTCACCTGCTGGAAACCTGGCGTTGGCTCTGGCTGAGCAGAGGTGTCCCAGGTGTGAGAGTCCTGCTCACTGCTTAGTGCCTGCAGAACTCAGTACTCACCACTTCATGTAACCCTAAAGTTCTGCCACAGCTTTGGCTGTACTGAGGAACTGAACGTTCAGTAGGAAGAGCTGATCCTCACTCAAAGCTCAGCCACAGCAAGCCCCAACTACCACAGCTCACAAGACAAGACAAGGTTGTTCTTCCCTCTTTATTGACTGATGGGTTCTCAGGCAGATCTGTTAATTACACTGTTAAATAATAGTTAAAAACAAACCAAGGCCAGAGGAGTTTGAAGTGAAGTATCTAAACTGAAGCAGAAATTGGGAAGGAAGAGGCAGGAGAAGCTGGGCTGGGGTCTCCACCTGTGTAACACTGCAGCTCAGAGACCCTGATGGCCGCTGCCGTGACCCCAGGCCATCAGATACCAGGGCCTGGCTCAGATGGGACATCATCTTAATATGGAAACGGTTGCCCAAACGTAGCCAGACTGGGAGAGAAGAGCTCTGTCCAGACACAGAGGTGCAAGGCAAGTCGAGGGGAAGCAGTATTGCAGCAATCCTAGAACACAGCCAGTGAGAGCAGCAGTCCCGCTCCCGCCGGCGGGCGGGCGACTTGTGGCCACCGCCGGCCCCACAGCACTGCGGCCAAGGGCTCCTCAGCTCACACGTTGTGGGTCCGTTTGGTGAGCTGTGGGTCCTCATCCACCAGCTTTGACTTGAGATGCTCCTTGTAGGCAAGGATGTCCCCCTGCCACTTGGTGATTGTCTGCTTCTCACAGACCCAGATCTCCTGCGCGACCTGAGAGCGAGCACAGGAGGAGGAGAGGTTTGCATACAGCATTTTATAATCTTATCGAAATTATAAAGTTAACTAAAAACTATTCTCTGAAGTCTGGCAAGAAAAGCTGAACTCTCACAATTCAACTACTGAATAAAGCATCTGCAGAGAAACATCTTCCTTGTTTTTTTCTGCATAATTTAGATAAGATTTTATAACTGAAAATCCTGGACCCCTCTACATTTCTGATTTTGTTCATGTGATAAGAAGAAAAGCCTTTCTTACTAAACTGGGAATCGAAACAAAGGTAGTTCTTGACCTGAACACACTGAAAAATAAAATTATACCCAGAGTTGCAGCCAAAACCACAGCTGACAAATCAGCATTTGACATCTGTGTTGGTTTTTTTAAAATTTGTTTCAAGTTCCTCATATTTTCATGGGCTATCTCAATAATTGTTTACCACGAACAAGGTAAGGGAATTGTGCACAGTGATTTTTTTTCACTCACCCATCTTTCTGGGATGTGTAAGAGCCAGTGAGTTGA